AATCGAAAAAATAAGGTGTTCCGTTTATTTTGGCCACGAGGATATATGAAAAGTTTGTTGAAAATATAAAGAGGTTTTTACGGTTACTAGTCGAGGAATCATTTGTGATTCGTATGGTGCTTGATTTCTTAGTTGTACAGAAGATACTAAAAGAAAATATAAGTTCAATAATAATTTCAATAAATTAATCTTACATTGTTTCATGCGGGTGTGGGTGTCCCATTTCCAGTAACAGTCACGGCCACACCCTACACTAACACCTATGCGCACACACCACACCCACATCCTTCGAAACAAAATCCTGGACAAAACTTGACAAGATGCTGAAAGATCCTCTCAGGTGTTGTCGAGGAATGAACAGAATTGGAACAAGAGTTAGGTAATCGTTTGATGTCTAGAAAAAAGACTAATTTTGCACTTCGACACTTTTATCTTTTAGAATACTAGAAGAAAGTGTAGAAAAAAACCGGACTTTTGTCTTGCCTAGTATCGTCACTTTTCGACTTGCTTGAATCATAATTTGACATCGTAAGATGGTATAATATCACTAGATGAATATAGGAAATTTTAATTTATTTTCAAAACAAAAAGGTTGAGAATGGTATAGGATTTTTCTTGTATATATTAAGAAAGTATTTTAATGCTTCGGCAATCTTGCTAAGATTCGTACGATGCTGACGGCTTTTTTTCTATAGTTCTCATTGATTTCCATTGGACAAAGATGAAACATCAGTGCAATCCCACTGACAACAAGAAATGAGATAAAGAGGTCAGTCATAACATTCATGGGAATGCCATTTTGTTCAAATGTTTTGATATTTTTACTAGAACATATTCGTTCTGATAATCATTTTTATTCTAATGATTCCAGTTTACCCTCTCTTCACGTAATAATAATATATTTACATCAAAATCTGCTTTGTATTGCCATTTTTTAGGCATAACAATACCAAATGATGATTTAGCAAAACCGACACCGATCACTAATAGACGACCGCAATACTGTCGATCGACAGTGTATTCAAGGGTTAATGCATCTCCTATAGCAACATCGATACGATTATCGAGTAATAACGTAAAACGCTCACTTTGATTTTTGACAGCGTAGAAGGTAGTAGAGATATTTTGTGTGTAATAATTCACATGGGCTGAATCATTTAAAATTCCGATGTGATGAAAAGATAAACGCCCTTTTTTAATATCATCAATACCGGATATATACGGTTGAGTCTGTTGTAGTGTGAGAAATGAGAAGAAATTACCCGTATACTTAGCCACTAGAATAATGCCCAAAGTGAACAATGCAACTGCCATTATTCGACTTGATTTTGTTTTCAAACGTAAATCATTGCCCATTCCGACGAAACAACTCAAAGCTTGATATACACTGAAAATAATCGTACGAAGTCCTTGACAATCTTCTTCTTCTTCTATCGTTCGTCGTTCGAATAAATAAGCGAGAAATCCAGAATAGATTACTATACCAAAGATTGACAAACAAACTGTAAGTGAGAATGGACGAAGATATCCTAAGAAACCGGCAGAAAACGATGAACCATCTCGAATAACAATTCGAAGAGTATTCGCATAGAAAGGTAATGAAAAATCAACGATTGAGAGTCGATTCGAGGTGATTGTTACGTCTGAAATGATTATGTGCGAAGTATCATTATTTGAAACAGATTCAACAAGACTATTATGGGGCATATCGGATGAAAATACAGAGATCCTTGGTGTAAATTTCATTTTCGCTTTTAATTCGACAATAAAATCGGCTACGTAGCCATAGATTTGAATGTTCTTGTTTTGGGTTTCAAGAAAATTTTTTGTATTCGATGGTTTTGGCTGTGTCATCGATGACTTATTCCAAAGCATGACAAAGGGAGGTGCATCAATGGCATCCATGTTCAAATGTTCACCTAGATTAAACAGCAAATAAGACACATTTGGTCAACAAACGATTATAGCGAACGATTAAGACATGGCTGCTTAATTGTGTGTTTGTAAATATCAAAGAGATTTAATAAACTTCTCCTGCATTAGAACTCTATACAATAAAAAAAAGGTGTATCATTTATTCTGATCAGAACAACATGTCATATCTTGAATCTTTAACATAGAAATTGTTACTGTTGTTAGGGTGGTTACTCACAATTGGCTAAGATAGGACCGTTAGAAAAGTGGTGAATAACATGGTATCAGATGTATTCAGATCATTCAAAAAATACATATCTTATTTGATTAATCTTGATCTTTGAATTCAATATACCTGATATTTTAACTATGAAAAATGATGAAACGAAACTCGACAGAAATGACACAGAATCAATTGAATTCGGTTATCATACATGATAATGATATGAATGAAATAGTTTTTATGAATATGGAAGATCAGCGAATAAACTCATTCTATTAAATGATGTTTTTCATTGTTAAAAATTGTTTGGTTTTCATATTCTTACCGCTGTTTCTAACATGAACTAATCTTGGTGCCAAAATAAAATAGGAGTGTATTTCAAGAACGGTGGCAGCAAGCGACCTACGACTTTTAGTAATTGAAAGAGAAGACTTCGGAACGTGTTTTTATATAATATCATGTTGGATAAAATTATTTTAAAAACTAATCATCTAACCAAATCTTTTTTAAAAAATGCATGTAATGATACGTCGTCCCAAGAAAATGTTGACTTTGACTTCCACGTTAGGCAGACGAACCTCAGATCTACACGTCTAGACTCCACCAGGGATTCGATTCGATTTGATCAGCGTAACAAGGCAAGAAGATAATCATCTAAGTTAAATCTATAAGTATAGGTCTGAGGTCCGTTTCGATAATCATCGTATCGGTATTCTTTGTTGAAAATGTTATCAATGGTATCATCTATTTTTACGGTGAAGACAGTAACTTCAAAAGAACAGTATATCTTATGCTCGACAATAATGTGATATACGAGTTAAATAATTTGTTCTGAAAATGCCACCTTCTAATGGAAATCATTAAATATGCAAAGTCAGTCTAAGATTAGTTTATAGTTTAGACAAAAAAAAGTGAGGCGAACAATAAGGATGATGACTGTGCTGATCTTTACCTGGAGCTTGTGGATAATCTACCGGTATTTTTTTTAGATCTATTTGGCCAAACAATTTGTTGTCCAGTAAAATTTCGCCATTTTTCATTTTTGTCATTGGGGTCATTAAACCACTTCATGATATGTTTATATACAAGGTGACGTTTATTTTCATTGAGTTGCAAATTTCTCAGTACATAATAAGCGCCGCCTACACGATCATTTGATGTATTAGAAAATGAGATAGGACCAGAAATTCCTAAAAAAACTCGTTTCTTTCAAATGTTTGTGATATTGAATAGCATTCTCCAATGTACTGTTAAAACAATATGACGATGAATTGAACCAAGGTATGGACGATTGTTCGTCAGACGCTGTTCTATTCAATGCTTTAATCAGTGTCCATGTTGCATCAAAAGTAAACATTGCAAATGAACTAATGTTGTGAAAATGAGAATATTCTTCTCGATTGTTTTTGTCCCATAAATTATGCCAAACACTTAATGCATCATTGTACAATATTATATTTACATTGCATTGTTCAAAGTCGTTGCTACTGCTAACAACTTCTATTGGCATTACAGTCAGAAGACCTTCGAGTTTATTTAACATCTGATTCGATTCGGATATATTTAGTGAAAGTGCATCGAGAGTCACCTTTAATATTCATTGTAAGAAAAAAGTGAATTTTAAGAAAGAGAAAAGGAGCTGATTGATTATTTTCAGTGATTTTCATAAAATGCAAATCCACCGATAATGATTGAAAAATCATCGAAAATCATAGAGAATCCCTCAAGCTAACTTGATTTTGAATGATTTTTGACTGATGTTGGGCTAATTTAAATTATTTGTTTCCTCCTTGATTTTATGTATGTATACTAATAGTTAAAATGAAAATTTCCTTGCTAAGATTCAATTTTTTGTATGATTGCTTCAATACTTTTCTTAAAGACTTTTTAAAGGAAAAAGATACTAACTACACAGACTGACCTCATCCGTTGTTATCCAGACGTATGGTGCACGGATAACTCCTTCCTTTAACGCTCTTTCAACAATGCTTGTCGTTTATTGGTTGTTTGCTCAAACGAGTACAATTTTCGATCGACTTCGGAGCAATATTTTCTTCAAATTATCATTAAAATCTTTCCCGTCGAATGTTAATCGTTCCTTGATAGTAATATTTCGATTATAATATTCTGACAATATGTTTAGTCCACCATAACCATAATCATCTTTTTGAATAACTATTGTACATGTTGTCCAGTTGAATCTTTTAAACAGTTGAACGATGGTACGAGCAAGAAAAAAATCCGATGGAACAATTTGATAGAATTTTGGATAGCGGCGTGTATCAGAAAATTCAGCATTTGTTGCACTAAACGAAACGACTGGTAATTTAATCTGAGCAGCAAATGGACTGATAAAACGTGCATTATTTGATGTAGCTGAACCAACGATTCCAACGATATTTGAACGTTGAGTTGATATATAATAACAGACGCGATTAAGTACAGCATGTTCATTTTCATCATTATTTGTTCCAATAATATCACCTGAAATTGTCTGATTATTAAGTTTAATATTGTATTGATCGGCAAGTGAGATAGCAGCAAGAAACACGACCTGACTCTGTTGAGACCAAACATCAGTTGCATTCGATTGAGACATTCCGAAAGAATCTTGATAAAGACTTTGATAATTATATTGTGGGAAAAGGTCAAGACGTTTAACGTCTCGATCAGATGGAATTGTCCAAAGAAGAAGAAGTAATATACAAATGCGCATCATTTTTTTGACTTGATTTAAACGCAAAAAGGTAATCAGAAAAGGACAAGGAAGGAATTTATTAGGGATGAAGTAAAATGGACAACAGAATTACAATTCCATAAATGGTCACAAATTGATATAGGATCGCTCGTTCTATCAGTATGATAGTGTACTGGCACACGAAAATAGACTACACTGCAGAAAAAGAAAGAACACAATAGCACAGGACGGTAGCGAAGCCAGTATTTTAGGCGCGGGAGCTAGATCTGGAATGCTCTGTTCGGTAGGAATGGCTCATTTCTCCGGATGCTGAGAACTCAGTCCTCCGCTGAGGGAAGAGCTGAACCACATCCTGTCCCCTGAATCCACCACTAATGTAGCAGCGGTAAGTATGTTAACTGGATTCTAGTTCATTCAATTTAGATTGTAGAATGGTATGTAAAACGAAATAATACCACAGAGTTAGATGAATAATTTTTCCATCCACTCTAGGTGGGAGGAAATTAGCTAAACAAATAAATAAATAAATAAATAAATTCAGAACACTGGGAAATGAGTAATGCAAAACTCAGCGGCAACATAGATGACACTATTCTACGTGCTCTTGCATTGCTTTTCGTATTGCAACATAGATTATTCTTCTATACCATTGCACCACGAAATCTACAGAAAGTGAGATTCTGTATCAATTTGTGATTGTCTGTAGAATTGCGAGTCTATTGGTGTTTTTTACTTCACCTCTAATATTTGTAACATCTATCTCTTGTATGACTCAAAAAATTACTCAACTTAAACATGTTCGGTTTTATACTTATGCCACTAATTAGTCAGTTTACCTTATAATGATAGTGATAGTATGTTGTTTCGTTATTAGTTTTTCACCATGGTTGTACATGCTTTTAAAATAACCGGTGCGGTGAAAAAATGGCAAAATCAATACTAGCCTGTTAACGCGCCTTCACCTCTTCCCCATCCTCAAAATACAATCTCGATACCATTATAACAATTTCATATTGAAATTTTAAGAATATGTTGGGGATTGTGTAAGGATGCTATGATAAACGTTTAACCCCAATATCGTGACATATTTAAGAGATATCCGGCGAACATAGACAAAAAGTAGCCTTTGTGGCAATCCAAATTTTTCCGCGAGATTTCATCGTAGACAATTATTAATTTTTTTATTCGATAGAGAATTCCAGGCTGGAAGGCCTGAGAAAGCCTTTTTTCAAATATTTGCTTGTGTTGTGGGTAGGGGTGCAACAAATCCAAACCTTTGGGATTTGGTATACCAA